GCCACCAGTATAGATACAACGCAATGTCAACAGGTTATATTTTCGCAATTCGATATTATTATTATTAATATCAGTTAAAATTTCATATTCAAACCTATAGAAGTAATATAAACAGGGCTAATCTAACACGAAATAAGAACACTTTTTGTTGTACCTATTGTGTTTGATTTTCTAGTTTGCCCGTGGTACGAAGAAGGGTGTCTTTATCTATTCAACTTTTTTTAATAAAGTGCACAATTCACCGCGATTAAATATATCAGTCCTAAAAAAGATAACAATGTAACGTCATATTGTATAATTGAACAATATTTGCTCGACATTTTCAGTGCTGGTTGGTTCAAGGAACGGATTCAATAGCGTGCCAATAAGCTGAGAGTTTCAAATGCAAACGAACTTAAATGCCACTGACTCTTGTTACTGGGTCAGATGGGGGCTGCGTTCATTGAACGCCGCCTTTCCTTGTTCATCTTGTTTATCATATTTTAAATAAATTTTGTATAGACTAACGCTATGATATGTTCATTGTTTGCCTTTTTTTAAATCAATACAAATTAAAAGGTAAAATGCAAAACCCAATTAAAATAAATGTTTTATGTACACATCTATAGATGTCTAAAAAATTTTGATTTCATGATTTCTTATTTCCTGTACTACTTTAGGTGGTGCTAGGGGGCGGGGTCTGCATCTACGAACAGACTTAATCACACCCAGCTTTCAAAAATTTTCAACTTTGCCATTTTGGTTGTTCTTTATGGATTCTGTTTACATAAGTATTATGCAAGCAATATATATATACATTGTAATACTATTACATAATTTGAAAATGTAAATCATAAAACATGGCATTAAAAATATAATTACTGTCCTTATTAATTTCTCAAATGCAGCTTAAAGGGCCGTTTATTAATCAACATCTAGTACAATGATTGGTGGAACCGAACTTAATCATCCTTTGCCATCAGGAGAGAAAAGAGAAAACCAGAACCCCCTTAAGAAAGTCCAACACAACAAAATTGAAAATGTTACAGTCTCGGTTTGATTGAGCCTCTTCACAGACGGTACTGTGAAGTGCAAGTTACCGTCCACATCCCCCTAGCACCGGCTTAAGCAGAATTCAACATTTAACACAAAAATGGTGAAATTTGGAATTTAGAAACATCCGCAGATGTACTCATACGGCGGTTATCATTGAACCTTCAATGTGACACAGTAGTGCCATTCCATGAAAAGCGGCGTATGGAATGCTTTTGCCCTTAACGAGAAAACAATGGGCGGAGCAAAATAAAATGGAATTTTGAAAGGGGATCTGAGGTTATGAAGCCTGCCCCAAGTAAAAGAGTGCTTTTGCCCTAAACGAGAAAACAATGGGCGGAACAAAATAAAATGGAATTTTGAAAAGAGATCTGAGGTTATGAAACCTGCCTAGAGTCGGCTAAGATAGCACATGTACGCAACGTAAACATATTCTGTTTTTCAATCTGATATTAATATTGTTAGGAAATGGTTGCCTAAATTAACTTGATACAGCTTTGTAATTATGTTGTGTAAAATTTGGGTCGAATCTTGAAAGGTCGCAGAAATATGCTGCAGATGATCCGTAACCAATAACAGAATGTTAATTGTAAAGCAATATCTATTCAAATGTAAACTATAAAATAGAGTGAAATAAGAATCCCTTAAGAAAGCCAAACACGGCAAAATTGAAAATGTTGCAGGCTCGGTTTGATTGAGCCTGTTCATGGACGATACTGTTAAGTGCAAACTACCGTCCACACCCCATAGCACCGGCTAAAGCAGAATTCAACATTTAACATGAACTGGTAAAATTTTGAAACATCCGCAGATGTGTTCATATGGCGGTAATCATGGAACCTTCAATGTGACACGTTAGTCTCATTCCATGAAAAGCGGCATATGGTCCCCAAGTAAAAAAATGCGTCGATGATGCGTCATAATATATAAACCTTGAGGACCATCCGCCGCTTTTCATGGAAATGCACTACTGTGTCACATTGAAGGTCCATGATAAACGCTGTATTAACACATCTGCGGACTTTTCTTAATTCAAAATTTTACTATTTCATGTTTAAATGTTGAATTCTGCTTAAGCCGGTGCTAGGGGCGTGGACAGTAACTTGCACATTCCAGGACCGTCCATGAACAGGCTCACCTTATTCGCATCCGTAACCATTTTCTTTGTACAATGGTTCCTTCTACATGTAACTAAAGGGAGGTGATACAAGGTTTGTTTTCTATAAATTCTCAGTCAAATTTTCCGATACGAAATGAATGCATATTATCCAATGACTACATTTAAATACATGTACTAAGTAAATTAATCTGTTTATATACACGTTGTGCAACTAACAGTTACTTACAAGCACGTTTAACCTAGATACTGCTGATGTATTTTTTATACATGATGTATTGGAAAATTATACTGAAACTTCGTTATCGGTATTCAAGTGCTCCTTGAAATAAGGTTGTGTTTCATAATAAATGACAATGAAAATAGATTGTATTAGCATTAAACAGTGTACATTTGTTTATAGCAACAAAAGATGAAAACATATTCAATATACTTTTCATATTTACCTATGGTGTAAGCCTTGGCAATAATAAGTCCCCTATGTTTCATAAACTGTTTCAATAACATTAAAGTATTTCTGGTACGAAAAGTTGTGTACTGGCTTTATTGATTTTTTAACCTTTTTGCGAGCCAATTACGGTGTTTTAATTTATATACTGTTATTTGTCCCCTTTAAACATGTATTAAGCTGTAACAACTGAAAACCACCATTAACTTGTGTCTAATGCTTACCGACATTTTGCAAATGAATAAATAATGAATCTTTCCTACAAAATAAATCATTTCGGAAATTAATCAATTAAAGTTTTTCATTAATCATGGTTGGTTCCACGAACTTATTCGAAAGTGTGTCTATAAGCTTATAGCTTCCTACACAATTGAGCTTTAATAAATTCTATTATCGCATGGCTGTGAGCTTTTCCTTTGTTCTTTCTAACCCATTATACTCAGTACACTTCAACGAGCATTTCAAAACTGTATTGATATATAACAGTGCAGTTTTTTCATTGATTCATATAGGAAAAAACTCGACTGTTATATATCGGTCGAGTCTTTTTCGCACCTTGTATATATTTATACAGTTTTTTTCATAGAGGCTCCAATGGGGCAGTGGTAACGACCATTCCCAGTAGCAAAAAAAAACATAAAATAATAAAAAAATGAAATCAATAAAATAAAATAAAATAGAATTAATATATAAATACAATGAAAAATATATACAAAGATAATTAATGAAATGAAAAAAGCCCTTTAATCGTAAATCAATCTTGGTAACAGTATACAATCCGCCTCTTATATTGGATGTCTTTTGTATATTTTTGCAGCAGCGAAAACAACTTGAAAAACTGCCTTATGATAAATAACTGTAATGTAGCTAACGATTAATTTATTTATTTGTTTCTATACAAAAAAGAAAACATTATGCCATTGCGATAAAACAGTTATAGTATATGAAACTCGTTAGTTACGGGGGTATATTACTGGCTGGGGCGACATCTCGGGATGTTTCTGCAAAAAAATTGTCTCGGCCTAACGGCCTTGCCATTTTTTAGCAGAAACACCCCTTGATGTCGCCCCTGCCAGTGTTATACCCTCGTAACTAACTCGTTTCATATACTATAACTATTTCTTAACACTAGAAGTTAATTTTGTATCGCTCATGAAACTGACAATTTTTAATACCATCAGTGTAATTGAAAGTAATTTAATTAATGTTATAAATGGTAGGACTTGGTTAATTTTGACGGTAGTCTAACTGTCATCTTTTCCCGCCCAAAAATATAACATCGGCCAATATCGTAATCGAAACGTATTTTTTTTCACAATCATAGTTCAAAAATGTGTGAACGTTTGTAACAGGAATTTAGTACATAGAGATAAGAGATTAGTGATTATAAATAATCTAATGACCAAGAACGTTCCGGAAATAACCTACATGCTACGAAATTGGCCGCTGTTAGATTTTTTTTCGGGAAGCATAACAGTAAAAAAATCTGGAAACAAAGTGATCCCTCGAAAACATTAATCACCATAAATTACATGAAAAATTGCAAACTCGGTTTGATTGAGTCTGTATATGAGGGATATTGAATTAGTGCAACATCACTCACGCCCCTAACACCGGCTTGGCCGGTATTCAATTCTCAACACTTAATAGTATCAATGATCCGGAGTAAGACTTCCTTAATTGTTTTGTTTTACGTCAAGTAAATATCTTTTTTTACACAAAACATCTCGCATTTTCTTAGATTTTCCGGTGGAGCTATTTATATCCTTTGTTGTTTGAATGACATTAACGAATGATTGTTCAATGTGATTCAAACTTTGGTATAATTGAGCAAGCTATGCATATAGTCATATCATGTTAAAAGGAAACTTATTTAGTATGCATAGAAAACGAATGCGTGGTTTTGTGTTATGTAAATAATTTAGATGCCAGACAATAATATTCTGAATTGTAGTTGGTATTTTAACGAGAGTAATTTGTAACAGGCCATTTAGTGACTTCAATAAAATACAATAAAATGACGTTTGTTAATTTTAAATTACTATAGTTCAATCATTTTCAAGTAATGAAAGAAATATATTTGTGTTTGTGTTTGAGAGACACTTTCAATTGCATGCATGTGGAATTCAATATCCATCATTTAACCATAGAATTTCGAGCATACATTATTCACCTGAAAATGACACGTTATCAAAATTTATTTGCGCAGAAAATTGCGCTGGGTTGGACGCAAGAAGTCAATTGTCCGTGAATTCATGTTCCTGTTTTGCAAATTTTATATGATCAGTTTTGTATGAAATACTCTTTAATTTTTAATTTAATAATTATTTTATTGCCATGAAGCTATAGTAACAACGATTCAGTGTTAGCTCCAGGCATATTCTGTACTAGTGGCATGAAGGTTGCACTTTCTTGGAATATCTTCTGATCATTTTGTTGCTTTTTTCAATTTCTTAAAATGTTTTTGAAAGTTATGAAATGTGAATTGATTCTGTTGCTTGTTTTTAAAACAGTTATTGCTGTCACAGTACTACATGTGAATATGATTAATTTTGAATTAGAGTATTCTGTGACCTACGAAAATTGGTGTAAATCTGACAAAGACAGATTTCAGTTTATAATTGGTATATCTATCGAACAATGTGTGGCAGAGTGTGGTGCACGGGGCCACTGCAGTTCTCTTATCTATAGAAGTCAAATCAACGGATGTGAGCTATTTCTCTCTTCAGAAACGGAACAATCAAATCCCGGCGAGTGTGTACATGTGAAAAAGGACGACATCAAAGTTATAAAGGTAGTTTATGGTCATTTTTCTTTCTTTTTTTTGTATCCTTATCAAATTCAGTAAATTCTTCTTCTATTTTTATTATTCTTTATGCAATGTCATAATCAAATAAACACCCAATTCATATAAGTTTTCTGATGATTTTTTTCAATACAGATTATTATTTTTGTTGTTGTTGTTGTTATTATTATTATTTTTATTATTATTATTATTATTATTATTATTATTATTATTATTATTATTATTATTATTTACTTCTTTTATCATTATCATTATTATTCCAACACAAAAACAAACAAAGACGAAATTCGTTTTGATGGTTTATTTAAGGCTTGGCGAAATTTTGTTATTGGTTTGTGAAGAAGTTAAGAACTAGAAATATCGGTACGAATTTATGTATTTGTTTCATGTATGTCCCGACATCGGCTACATACTGTTATGATATAATATGCCTACATCAAATATAATACATGTTATATTTATCACTAATACTGAAAGACAAATGATTATTGTTTGTTTCAATAGATAAACTCAAATTCCAAATTTACGTGCACAAATGTCAAACTCAGCATCACAAAGTGTTAAATTAACGTCAGCGCCGACAACGGAAGCTGACATTGTCTTTGGCAATAAAGCATGCATCTTGTGCGCATTGTTAAGCTGTTTATTCTTACACAAATGTTAATTTCAAGCCATGACGAGAAACTCCCAGAGTGTAAAACCTGAAAAATACATACAATTTACGGCAGCAACGTCACTTATTTCTGGGAGGGAGGGCGTGGCTATAATTGTATAAATGTAAAAACTAGATCTAGATAAAAACAATGAAAATTCACATGCTGCCTTCTTCGGCGTTTCCTATCCGAAAAAAAGATTGATACCACGCCGCTCAGTTTCTTATATAGGTGACGAAATTAACTCATGAATTCTTGACCAACCAACGGGCTTGTTATTAATACCCGTTTTTGGATGGAATAAAGAGTTCAACCTTAAGCGATTGAACTGTATATTATTATTATTATAATTATTATAATAATAAACATTAATAATAATAATACTTTTAAATGTGCTTGATGGATATACAAATCACTTGCTTTTGAGCTTTCCTGTAACTGTTCGAAATAATTTTAAAGATAAGAAGTGCTTAATAAAAGGATTAAGAACTCGTCAACGAGCCTAACAATGTAAATAAACCTTAACCTTTATAACACAATTTTGTCAGGGACAATTGAAGGGGTCAGTGCATCAAGGTACCTAACCGATTCTCTTCATGTGCTTGATAAAAGGATTTAGAACTCGTCAACGAGCCTAACAATCTAAATAAACCTTTATAACACAACTTTGTAAGGGACAATAATAATTATTATTGTCAAACCATATGCTTAAAATTATTAATCTTTTAAAGATTCTGTAACACATTTTTTTCATGGTTTTATTACATAAATATGATGCTTAAATTAAGATTTGTCAAAATAAGCATTATTTATAAAGATATTACCCCATTAACATTTAATGTAAATTAAGGGAGGTAATTAGAAATTTATTTTCTATAAATTTTAGATAAGAAATGAATGCATGTAATTTATTGATTAAATGTTATGTGCACAAATATTTGCAGTACACATTATACATATTCTTCGATGTTTGAAAATTGTTTTATTTGCATAATTATATGTACATTGTATAATTGTTTACACACAGTAACAATATCAATCACAAAACATACATGACAAATGTTTTAATGATTTTAAGTATCACATTATCTGACTTTAGAGCCCTTGTCAAGGAGGCTGTGAGCATGGGGATGTATGTGAATCAATTGATTCCAAAACGGAAAAGTGTAAAATAAAAGGTAAGATATATCATACCACAGTATAGTTTATTATACAAATATAATTGTGCTAGTTTTCGCATTGAGTCTGAGGGGTAACCTTTAATGGTTGAGGATCGTAAGTGGCGACTCATGGGTTCGAATTTTCAGTGCATCTCTTAGCTCCAGCACGTGAGGGAGTTTTGATCCCTGGCGTTGCTTTAACTTTGTAACACCCGAGGTAAGTTTTACCATCTTTCCGTTTTCGGCGCCATATAACGTTAATTGTGTTGGTGCACCGTAAACCAAACCAAATTAAATATCCTGTGAATGTAAATGTTTTCAAAATATTCAAGGGCTGACGAAAAAGGTGATGTACATTTTTACAAAAATATAAATATGAATATTGTATCGATGTCAAATAGAATTTAATTTAGAGTTGATAGATAGTAGTTATTATGAACATAATGCAGACAACAACTGTCCGAATGTTGTACTTAATCAAAAACGTGAAAACTTGCGATTGGTAAACTTCAGGTAGATACTTTTATTTCCTCCAAACGGGAGAGCAAAGTAATTATAGTAAATCAAATGCTAGATGTCGAGATGATTCGTTTGTCTTCTCAGTTTGTGCATATATCAACATTCACGAGCAATTAGTGACAACTTGCATGCGTTTTGGAGCATGTGTATTTTGCAAATTTCTTACTTTGAAGCCAGTCGGTTTATCGTTTAAATTAAGTGAATATAATTATAATACGTTATTGATAAATTTTGTTTCATTTTTTTAAATTCTATTCTTTTCAAAAATTATATAGAGGATATTTGTTTGTTTGTGTGTAAGATGTAATTTTATTTCATCGAATGGGCTTTAAAGCAGCACGCCTCCAGATTCATTCTAATTTTCATGAAAATTTTGAAAATGTATTTAAAGGTAAAATATTGTGAAATGAACAAAGAAAATACTTGACACATTACAATCGGCGCTTAAAATCCAAGTAAATTACCAAAAAGAGGTCAAAATATGCATAAATAGCCCCTTCTGCGTTAGTAACGCAGTAGACATATGGTGATTAATACTACAAACTTCAGTCATTAATTGCACATTAGATATAAATTATCACTTGAATCTTTAATTTGTTTACTTTTCCCAAGGTTTAACCCTTACTTCATGAGCATTTTGTGAAAAATGGCTGTTTTCATTGAAAAGTCTCCCGTTACAAGTTCAAATTGCTATAATACTATAAAAACTGCTTCAACACTAATCAAACTTGGCACAAATGTTGACTGGACCATTGTCCTTGCAACAACATGCTCAGGCTTAACTTTTCTGTTACTATTGCAACGAGGGGACATCTCAAAATTGCCAAAAATCACTATTTTGCGTTGATTTTTTCCATTCCATCAAAATTGATTTCAAAGTGTTGCAACTTCTAAATGGATTGAGATAAAAGTGAAATACTTTTCAGCGTTAGTTACACGTTACCTTATGATCAATCTGGGGTCATTTATAGCCTCTCACAAGTCCAAAAATTTTTTGGCGATGAGGGGGACTCCGCCCTCTTCAAACCCCCCAAACAGAAGGGGGCACATCCCCCTTCTGGCAACCCCCTGATGTAGCTTTTGGTTTAGGGGCCGCGCCGAAAAAGAGGTCACTTTTATTAACAACTTTTCTCAAACAAAATCAAGTGTTGGGGCCCTTATTACGGCATTTTTGTACCAATTGAGACAACAAAAAGGGGGTGAAAAGGCGTTAAAAGGCGTGAATATAACGTAATAGGTTAACAGAAAATGACGAAGATACTTTAAATTACCCTAAATCATGTTTTTTTCATGTTTAAACATGGCCTGTCATATAAATTTGAAGAAAAATTGTTGTTTTGTAGATTTTTTTCATTTTTTTCATAAACCAATTACTTCATGAGCATTTTGTGAAAAATGGCTGTTTTCATTGAAAAGTCTCCCGTTACAAGTTCAAATTGCTATTATACTATAAAAACTGCGTGAACGATAATCAAACCTGGCACAAATGTTAACTGGACCATTTCCCTTGCAACAACATGCTCAGGCTTAAATTTTCTGTTACCATGGCAACGAGGGGACATCTCAAAATTGCCAAAAACACTATTTTTCGCTGATTTTTTCCATCAAAATTGATTTCAAAGTGCTGCAACTTCTCAATGGATTGAGATAGAGTCAAATGCTTTTCAGCGTTAGTTACATGGTTACCTTATGATCAATCTGGGGTCATTTATAGCCTCTCACATGTCCAAAATTTTCTTGGCGATGAGGGGGACTCCGCCCCCTTCAAACCCCCCAAACAGAAGGGGGCACTTTTATTAACAACATTTCTCAAACAAAATCAAGTGTTGGGGGCCTAAATAAGGCATTTTTTCACCATTTGAGACAACAAAAATGGGAGGGGGTGAAAAAGGCATTAACAGGCGTGTATATAACGTAATGGGTTAAGTATGGTTTTTCCAAGTTTAATTTTCTTGAAATATTTTGGGTCATCTGGAGGCATGCAGCTTTAAAAGCAGTATTACGGTTTTTAAAGTTCATGAGATGGAATAACATTACATCTTACACAAGAAACAAACAAATTTATTTTTATTTTATGCTTAAAAACAAGTTAAAACGAAATTTCCATAATATTAACGTTAATATTAAATTCTATTTTCCCCATTGAGAGCCCCATTTAGTCGGAATTTTCATTAAAAACAAGAAGTCTTGAGCTGAAAAATAAGTCCGACAAGCAACGTTAAATGACGGTGATGAATTATTGTAGAAGATAGAGTCCAACCATCCATCCATATTTCTGTTACATTGTACTTACTGCGATTTATGATAGACCTGGCTTTGTAAAAATTAGCGGCAGCCATTATTTATAGTTGTGAATTTCACGGGAGGAAAATAATTGTGTTTGATTCAGAGGGATATCATTTGGATTTGTTACACACCTTTTTAAAAGAAAGAAAACTTATTTGACGATTGCAACAGACAAAATAAGTGTTGACAGATGTGAAGAAAGCGGCTAGTAAAATGGTAAACTTGGAAGCTGACACAGGCATGTCAGGAACGATGGGTTGTTTACTTGTTCTTCGAGTGATGACCGTCATTGCTTTTCAATTATTCATAAAGCATACGGCAGTTATTGGTTGGAGGATACTTTAATATGCCCAAATGTCATCAAAAGCAGTGTGGAAGGAATGTGCTTTATAAACTGTAAAAATGAAACAAAAAAAGTTTGAGTCGAAATTTGGTGATTGGAATTTGAATGAATAGAAGTAAGTTTTTCTACTTTTTATTACTTTTGATATTTAAGTTATTTATAAATTTCAGCTTTGGTTTTTCTTTAAACAGCCTGACATTGTCAGAATCGTCAGCAAAGTAAAATTGAGGTCCCACATGGTGAAAATCTTAAAAATGTAGTTTCGTCATTGAAAAGTGTGAAATTATAGTTTGATAATTTTCACTGTGAAATTATCAAATATAATTTTCACTGATAAATCAGTAATCCACGGAAAAGCATGAAATAAAAGAATATAAAAAATGCTATTTAATTATTAAGTTATTCATAAATTAAATGCACAAAACTCCGTTGTTTAGCTAATGATATAAAAAAAAATGAGTAGGTACAACCAAATTCTAATGTTATCCGGTCGATATATTTTATATTCTACTTAATAAGCTCTGTTGTTTTATGATTTAAGAGTGTATCAACATAACGGCCCCAACCAACGGTAAAGCTCTTGGAAATCAAAGGGGAGTTGGAAATAAGATCCGATACATATGTAATCCAGGATACGAACCAAAAAACGGCGTAGAACCTGTAGCTACATGTCTTTACAACGCACAATGGAGCCATATTACAGAATGTGTAAAAAGTAAGAAAATACACTATTATAATACTTTTCCAACAAGAATATTTCTTAATGTTGTCATTTTATCTTAATGGTTACAAGATAAAGTGTAAAATTTTATGTCGTTTTCGTACAGTATGAAAAGTATGGTGGTTGCATGAGTGTATTTTGTCCTTTTAAATAGGCTCAAGCGTACATTTAAATAGTACATACATTTCAAGAACTACTTTTGTTGCTGCAACAGAACGATTTAGAAAATTAAAGGGAAAATGTGTTTCTATTGTTTTATCAATATTGTTTTGGGAGCAATTAAATGAACAAAGAAAAGTTGTTTCGAATCATTTTACGCTGAAGATAAATTTCTTCACACAGGACATTACATTTACTCACTGGTATTTTAATTTAGCAACCTATTTTGATTTGTTTTCCTATAGCAACATAATATGTCTTGTAAAGTAAATATATTCATAAACAAAGGATGTATATAGCTTGAAATAGTGAATTTGCATTGGCAAATGAATTTATTTTGAATCAATGATATAGAAACAACTGTGTGACAAGTGTCAATGCTAACCAAATACTTGTATACTGTATTCCTTCAGATGAGCCAAAATTTATCAAGAAAACAAACCATGAGAAAAATATGTACTAAGATTTTAAACAATTTAAATATTAACAATAAAAGAACCGTTTTACATTTTTATAAGCAATTAATATCTTAATTGATTGTCTAATGGTTTTGCAGTATTGTCACTATATTTTCATTGCATGACTGGCGCAGTAAGGGCTAGCATTGCATATTGTTGCCAATGATTGGTAATTTTTGTAGATTTTAAGATCCGTTTGAAGCGTGTTATTCACGTTTTCTGGTCACTAGCAAATATTTTACTTAAAGCAATTGTAAACAGAAAATTATCATCAAAGTACAACGATGTTCAGGACCACTGAAAATTGGTCTATAAGCTACATGTAGTAGTAACCAAATAACCAAAAAAAAAAAAAAACGAATTCAACATTTCATTGTTTTTTTTTTATCAAATTGAACATAAATATTAAGAACTAGGAATGTATCCATAGGACACGGGTGCCCCCACCGCGACACTGTTCTGTCAATCTTTTTACTAAGTAAAGGGAATTAACTCTACAAATACTGGATAAATCCACAAGCGAAACCCCAGGTGCAAATCTAAAATATGCTGAGCAACCTGCCCATAAGGTTTATTGACTATGTCAAATCCTTTTTGAGAAACTTGCGACGCAAGTTGAAAATTGCAAAAAAATTCTAAGTGAAGGGCAATAACTCTAAAAATACTAAATAAATCCAGACGAAAATACCTGGTGCACAACTGCACATGCTGTTCAATATTCCTGTAAAGTTACATGACTCTAGGTCAAATACTTTTTGAGTTATGTGCGACACATGTTGAAAATTGCCAAATTTTATTAAGTCAAGGGCAATAACTCTGAAAATACTAAATATATCCAGACGAAAATACCCACGTGCACAACTACACATGCTGATCAACATTCCTGTAAAGGTTCAAGACTCAAGGTCAAATACTTTTTGAGTTATGTGCGACACAAGTTGAAAATTGCAATATTTTACTAAGTCAAAGGCAATAACTCTAAAAATGCTAAACTATGCACACGAAAATACCCAGGTGCACAACTACACATGCTGATCAACATTCCTGTAAAGTTTCATGACTCTAGGTCAACTACTTTTTGAGTTACATGCGACACAAGTTGAAAATTGCAAAATTTTACTAAGTCAAGGGCAATAACTCTAAAAATACTATAAAATATCCAGACCAAAATACCAAGGTGCACAACTACACATGCTGATCAACATTCCTGTAAAATTTCATGACTTTAGGTCAAATACTTTTTGAGTTACGTGCGACACAAAAGTGAACGGACGGACGGAAGGGCGGACGGAAGGACGGACGGACGGACAAGAGTAAATCCAAATGCCCGCCACTAACGTGGGGGCACAAAAATGATATATGTGCTGTTGTTTTCAACACGGTAATGACGTGAAACTAAAAATGCAGAATCACAATGAAACAAGATGTCTTACCGTTGGCTTGATAAGACTGGGTATTGTATGGAATAAAGTTTAGCGATTGTCGCCCTCTTTTTTCGATATTTCCATTCTACGAGGGACGGTCAGAAAATATCCGGACTTTGACTCGTTCTCGAAAACCATTCAACATTTAAAAAAAAATTCTTTCTACTCTTTTTCAAAATACTCTCCACCTACGTCCACGCACATTTGCCAACTTCGTGGGAGCTTTTGTATTCCCTCTGTGAACCATGACGTAGACCTATGTTTTAGGTACTGTGTAACAGCAGATATCAAAGCCGCCCTGGTATTTCTTTCCAGCAAGCATTTTATTCAGTTCTGGAAACAAAAAAGTCACAGGGGGCCAGATCTGAGCTATAAGGAGGGTGAGACAACAATTGCCATTTGTAAGAGTTGATTAACTCGGCGGTATGAGAATGGGCGTTATCGTGAAGAAGGAGAACATTTTTCTGTGCTAACCTGCGACGCATTTGCTTCAGCTTTTCTCTGAGAATTACTTCACAATAGTACTTGGCGGCGACAGTTTGACCTTTTGGTATGAAATGAGTAAGTATCGTTCCTCGTGAATTCCAAAAGGCATCAAGCATGACTTTGCATGCCGAAGGAGACAGCTTACACTTTTTAGTAGGTGGGGAACCAGCTCGCCTCTGCTTTGACTGAGCTTTTCTCTCAGGTTCGGAATAATGAACCCACACCGCATCTCCAGTGATTATGCGATTCAAAAACTCCTTCACGATTAAAACGACTTACACGTTAAATATTATTTTGCATTGGTTACTCTGGTTGCCTTTTGATCTGCGGACAGCTGTCTAGGCACACACCTGGCACTCACCTTGCTCATGCCTAGGTGTTTGTGTAAAATCTTGTGTGCCGATACCTAACCGATGCTCCTCTAAAGTTACTCGACGATTTTTGTTGACAAAAGCATTAATATTTGCTACCATTTTAGGGATCACCGCCTCAGCTGCCCGCCCAGTCCTAGGCGTGTCACAAACACTTTTTCTGTCTTTCACGAAACTGAGAAACCCAATTGTAAAGGTTGAACGTGGTACACATTTACCAGAAAATGTTTTTTAAGCCTCTGAAATATGTGGCAGGGCTTTTCACTTTCTGCAACCAGAAACTTTATTACAAAGCGTTGTTCCTCTAACAAAGAGTACATGATAGACGAAACACCTATCATATATCATAGAGAAAAATACTGTGTATACACAACTATCATAAAAATAAACTGACCACGTTATTGGCGAATGGATGTAGTTTTCACCAAATACAATATAAAATGTGTTTATAGCTGCACGTGGAAAGAGAGGAGCATGAAAAGTCCGGATATTTTTTGACCGTCCCTCGTAATTTCAGAAATAACAAATTGATATATTAATGAAAAAGAAATTTCGAACGACTTCAGTCTTACGGTTCTGTGCGGACTCATTCCAGAAACAGCGCATGTCAAATAAGAGAGAAAGTTATTATCATGTGAGAATCTTGCATTTTCGCTTTTGTATTGTATAGTACTACTTAACATATTAAAGATTTTTAACTTACAAATTAATCAATCAGATTTAGTTGCTTATTTAATTCACAAAAACTTGTACGTTGGCTTTCAGCTAACTATACTTGGGCCACGTGGTCACCATGGAGCACATGTAGCGTAAGTTGTGATTCAGGAACTCAAATTAGATCAAGAGAGTGTTCTATCCGCATAGAAAGCAATGGGGAATTGTCTTGTGATCAATCGGATGTACAAAATGATGAGACTCAGCCATGTTATGTGCGACCATGCCCTAGTAAGTAATATATGGTTGCACTATTCTTACTTTAACATTACATCACCGCCTTTAAATTAAGGTTCCTCCTATAAAATAACAGTTGATCCCTTCTGGAAAATTTTCAGTTTGTTTTGTTTTGTCCTTTTTTTCCCGTGCACATTATACGTATCTGAATTTGCTAATAGTACCATGCATCGCTTACCTTCAAATTACACAAAATGTCAAATTCTCGTTTGAAATCATTTTCAGATATTACTAAAAACCTTGTTTATTTCTTAGAAAGGCGGTGCTTTGGTTTTTCACGCAGATAGCATTTGTCATAGCCATTTATGACTAGGTATTTCTGCATTGGATAATCTTTGAAGCTTTAATTATTGACAATATTTATTGGCAATATATGTATCACATCTATATTTTTCAAGTTTTTATACTGCTATTTTCCAAAAGGTTTCTATTTAATGTTCTGGAATATGTAACAGTGGTGTGGAATTTTTATACAAGAAGAGACAACATTATAAATCACATGTTCTGTGGAATATGTCTACCTGAACTCAAGAAAACTTTATTTATTTTTAGCCCACGGAAAGGGTTGCTTAAGTGATTTAAACTGTCTAGAAACACAAGGTGTGTGCATACAACGAAAATGTTTCTGTCATCAGCAATTTGCATATAACAACTCAATTAAAAACTGCACAAAAGGTAAAGTATTCATAGCACTGATAAAGTCATATTGTGCTAGTTGAAAGGTATATTATGCCTCAGATATTTATGTGCCTCAGAAACTCATATTTTCAATTCTATAAAAATGTTAAACATGTGTTTAGTAATGTTATAATGATGGAATTAAAAGGTGATAGATGTTTAACAACTAAGGAAAGTAGAACTGAACGAACGTGCATTAATATGCCGTAAAGATAGCAAAATATAAATATAAAAGTTGTATTTTGACTTCGCAAAAAATACTAATTACATGTATTATAACTATAATTAATTAATTATACCAACTAACATATAATTATATCTAATAAAAAAATTGATATAAGTTCAAAACATGATTTATTAATTTAAATTTCAGTTTGCCAAACAATGACGACAGGCAATTATACTAAATTCGAAAGAAAAGCGATTACCGGTTTTAACAGTAATGAGGCAGAATATGGGAGCTTGGAAGAATGTAAAATTGCCTGTACCGAAAATCCTGAATGTTTATCCTTCGAAATATATCGAAAACGATCGGGCGCGAGATGTACAACAGGATAAGTAACATATGATATGATGAATTCAGTTGATCCCACAAAGATTAGAGATGATGACGGCTTTGATCTGTATTCCAAAACATGTTCTTGACTTTCACGTGTAGATATAGATAAAAATCAAATCTGAAAAAAAGGTATCTAATAAATGAAAAGAAGTTTTATTGTGGTTTGAAATAATATTTAAGGTAAATTTAGTTACCGGTATATGTTACTCATATATCAATTTAATAAATGATTTCGTATACATTTAAAGTAGATAGGACAAAATCAATGTGATTTCATGTGAGAAAGCTATCTTACGGAACGTCGGTGACCCAGTCAGGTGTTCGTTCGTGCCTGATTTACAAACTCCTCACAGCGGTTACGTCACGCTTTGCTACTTTAACCACTGCCACCACTGAAATCACGTGATGATAGTTGTATCATGTGACAAAAACATGGCGGCCAGTTTCAGAACGCCAGGGATCCCATATCAAACTGGCAGATTTATAATTACATCCTTATCAGACAAAATAAGTTCAAGACACACAATTTGTTATCACTTTAAAACAAGTGCCGGATCAAATCTTTTTGTGCAATCCTTCAATAACTGTTTATATTCTACCATTGTTTACTATGCATACGGTGTCACAGTGAAAATATCTTTCGTTATGTTTACAAAATAATTTTTATACGTATATTTTTTTACTTTCTTGTACATTAAGCATAACTATTTAACGAAAGAAAACTAAAATGATATAAAGTATTCTATTTTTAAATTAAAAGTGAAAAAAATATATCCGGCTATATTCGACCGAATTTACTTGTGGTGGCAGTGGTTACTGTACAGATCAGGGGAAGTAACCGCTGCGAGGAGTTTGCCTGATTTAATGCACGGAACTATTTTGCTGTTTGTTAAATAGTACAGACTAAGTAAAAAATCTGGAAATAAAGTGATCTTTCGGAAGCATTAATCACAACAAAATTATTGAGTATATTTTATATGCAAGACAAGTATTTTTTATGAAACAAAAAAGCATGTACGGGACAAGTTTTTAATGAATTTTCAATAACAAGAAAAAGAAAAAAGATAAAAACATTAAACGGAAGCCATGATGTATTTGGATGGTAATCAAAGACATATTACATGCAAATAAAAAAGGCAACCGACGGTAAGAATCAATTCTGAAATTTCGTTTACATTTAAGTGTACGTATTTTTTAAACGTTAAACATATTTAATTTAGTGTTATGCTTGTTTTCCCATCTGTATATAAGATGTTGTTAAACTAGGCATGCTTATAGATTTTATTGTTGACAATTCTAAACAAATATTAGTTTTTTGTTAGCTTACATATTAATAATAATCATGATCCGATAACGATGCAGCATCAAAGGTTGCGGTGGATGGATGCAATGAAAGATATATGCCAAGTGCTTTAGAAATATGAAATTTATGTGAATTTAAATGTAAATTTATTGATAATCAAAAGTTGTGCATCCATTATTCAGCCGAAAATGACATTTAAACAAACACGAATTTTCACAGATAAGTTCCCATTTACCGCAGTAGATGTTTTAGTCATGAAACATTCTGGGTATGCGGCAACGCATTAATTGTACTGTAATTCATGTCTGCATGTATTCTAGGCTTACTGAGGCGCCATCCTCACTTACAGGCACTGAGAGTACGGATTTCACACATGTCACCATTCGTGTCCTTAAATGTTATTTATCTACCAAAAGCAGACATATATATTTTGTATTCAGTAATTTCTTAAAAATTTAATGATATTTAATATGTATGCAAATTTATCTTTGTGATCTTTACTATTTTGATGCACGGGAAGCAAATGAGGTCATTATAATTACATCTTGGTAATGAAATAGGTGTTACCGCCAAATCTTCCAGACGAGCTTTAATGACTTATAAGGATTTTGCAACTCGAACTGATACCTAACATATGTATTCTGTAAGGATAGCTGACATGCAAGAGGGCATTATTTCCAGTTTTTCAAAGACAAATTTTGAATAAAATTTTAGCCAAAGTGTGGTTCCTTTTTCAAATTTATTTATATACTAATTAAAATAACCAAAAGTTATGCTATTCTGCATTGTAAGACTCGGCAAATGAAATAGAATAGATTATTTTATTTTGCTCTGCATTTTTATTGAGGTAAGCTGCAATCCAAGGGGGCTTGACTCCATCCTATAAAATTCTTCGTAGATAAATTGAGGTTAGTTCATATGACTGTACTCGTTAAGATTGTTGCCAAGTATAGTCAATATTCTTAGGATTGTGTCTGACATGGGGTTATGATTGGTTACACCGCTGAACGAAGAAGGTTCTTATGAAATTTTTGAGGCAAATGGAAGGAGGAGCTATTATTAACAGTTTATGTCATGTTGTCTTATATTCTGAAAACATCAAGTAAAAAGCGTGTTGTTATGTTTGTATTTATTAACTTTATTTGAAAAGCATTTGCATTGTGATTTGTTTATGAACTGGCTGGTTTCGCTTCATTGGTTATACATGTACTTAAAGTCGATCTCCGAATATGATTGAAGTCTACATTAATGTCTATTTTGGAATTTATTGGCATTTTTTTTCGTTTTTAGTTACAAATCTTAGATTTATTTTTATGATCTTCCTTGTAAAGTGTTATGCATTTTTGTTGTTTTGTTATGTATACCGTTTTGTTAAAATATTTTTTTGTTAAAACATTTTTTGAGGGTAACAGTGTTTGGCTTGCAGTGAAATGTGTTGGTGTTTTGATTACAATATTGTCTTTCATATTTCTGTAACTTTGATTTGTATGGTTTGAATTATATTCTGAAATTTAGAATTCTGCCTATATAAAAAATTAATATTTTCTAGCTTGTTTTTACTTTTCCGCACATTTGAGATTAAAGTAAGATTAGTTTCAGAAGAATATGTATTCTCATGTATTAAATAAATTTATAAGAAAATATTGTGTGTTTTTGTAATTTAATGCTATAAGAAACGTACATTGCTCCACCGAACACTTTAGAGTAAACAAGTGCGACGGCTTTTAAAGAAGGTATCTGTTGTTTATAAACAGATATGTTCGAATTGTAAAATTGTTGCTTCGTAGAAGAATTTAGAGTAAATAGATGCCAGTGTTCTTTAACAATCTGATATACCAATACTTACATAGCAAAAATGGCTCAGTTTGTATTCCTCGTAGTAATTTTATTATCCTTAAACTGCTAAAAATGTTTGGTAAACCTTGTCAATGCAGATCAAGGTCAGTCCATATAACCATTTAAAGCTACATGCCTCCAGATGAGCCAAAATATTTCAATAAAATCAAACTAAAGAAATATGTACAAAGATGTAAGGAAAAGTAAATAGTTTCAAGATTCAAGTAATAATTTACATATTATGTCTACTTGATAAATGATTTTTCAGTATTTAAATTAATTTCTGCTGCGTAACAAACGCAGTAAAGGCTATTTAAGCACATTTTTTACCAATTTTTGGTAAATTACGTGGTTTGTAAATGCCATTGATATATATAATGTGTAAATTGCTTCCTTTTGGTTACTTACCAATATTACACATTCAAATACATTTTCAAATTTTTTATGAAAATTAGCATGATTCCGGAGGCGTGCTGCTTTAATCTTATCCCAATCAGCACTGTTCATTAGGCAGCGATATTTTGTCTTACCATTAATTGATGCTCAATGGCACTGTTCAAAGTGCAAAGCCCAAGTCAGTTACAACCAACAATTTAAGGTTAAATTCGATTTAATGTTGTTTATTCAGGTCAAGATGAAGTTAACACTGACACTAATAAGCGCACAATAGTTAATACTTTTCATTTAGAAATATATTCTGACGTCACCTTAAGTGCTTTGCATCAACGCTTTTCATGTGGTAAAAAGAACTGTATTTGTTTTTTAATTGCGTAAGCTTGATCAACTTTTTGTTAGCTCAAATGGGATTGGTATGATGGCTGTGTTTGCGCCCCGCGACCCCGCCAAGCGAAAAATTGGAAATTAACACGTTAAAATGGCAGAGGCGCGAAGCGAAAACACGCTAATCCTCGAGGGCGCAGTGAGAAATTTAATTAAAAAAAACTTCGCCAACATAGATAGAGCTTTATTCAACTTGGTCTTTATGCATACTTGAGGACATTAAAGATACCGGCCTCTCATTATCCACTATCCTTTTCTTCCAAGAGTATGGACGGTAAAGAATTTGCTCACGTTGTCATCACATGCTCGATGATGACGTCATAATTACAGTTATTAATTCTTAGAGAATTTATTATTAAATAAATACAAAAACACATGTCTTATTCATCGTTAGCTAGCATCATATGTTGGTTTCTGAACACGGGTGCCTTAGCGGCCTACTTATAAATGACTAAAATTACGAATCTAAATTTAATAATAAGATATAGAATCTAGATTTACTTGACATGATGAAGTCGTCATCACCAGACGATCTACTCCAGTACAACTCTATCATAAATATGAATAAATAATTTATTTTTTTTAAATGAAAAAAAAAAAAAAAAAAAATTAAAAAAGAATAAACAAAATAAAATAAAAATATCTAAATCTAATAATAAAAATATATAGAATATTATGAATATAGATAAATAAATAAACTGGTATCTTATTTATTGATTAGTTACCAGCTCATCTGGGATTAGAACCTAGTGCCCGAACAGCCTAACGTATGTCAACTGATAATTAAATATCTTTTAAAGTTTTATCAATAAAATTATCTTTGTGGTAGATGTAAAAAGCAAAGCCAAGGCCAGGAAGACTAGGTCGGAATTAAGAAAAAATGATCAACAAGGTGTCCAGTCTCAGCAGATCTTGCAACGTAGGGCATACCAGTCACCCGTTGATGTCCAACCACCTGTCAGTCAGCCTCTTGCACATCAGCCTCCATCAGTATACGTACAGCCTTCTGTGATTGTACAGCAACATGCTGTTCAGCCTTTTCTTGTTGTTAAGCATCAAATTGTCAATGTACATCCACCTATGCACCAGCATTGACAGCCTCAGTTAGTAGAAAGGCGACAGCTGTCAGACGACAGACGGTAAAAGTAACAGTATTTCTTTTTCAAATGATTGTAATAATAATAACATACAACAAAATGTTAACTTAACAACAAACCTATTTGATCATAACATTCTTGTTCCTCTTACGGTCGAAAATGTATATTTTC